TATTCAGTATGTGCAAAAAGAATTACTGTTAAATGAATTTCACGAGCCTCATAAAAATTTTTACATAATCTTTCTGTCTTTCCCTATACAATAATGAAGAACAGTTACTGGAAGGAACAAGAATTTCAAATACAAGGAATAAAGAGAATTTTTAAAATATGGAAATCCGTTTAAAAAAAAGTGTGAAGAGTTAACAATGATGAAAACTTCTGCAAAAAATCCTACCTCAGTGCAGAAGTAAACGACGTTTTTTGATTGCCCGCAGCTGAACAAGCAAAGAGACCAGCCCAGGTGCGCAATAGATTTAAAAATATCTGCGAAAAGTTTTCCAGATGGAAGGAGTCATTTGACAGCCAGTGCCACTTCCTATAACGATAATTTCAGTAAGTCGAAATAGATCGAAATTAGCTGAAACTAACAAAAAATAATTTTAATGTGAAAAGCAGTAGTGAAGCAAAATCGCAAATGATATCGCATCAGATATATACCTAACTAAGCTACCTTCTATGATTAAACATAAGTGATAAATCTTCATGATTTTCCATCAAAATTTAAATAAATCCAAATGTTGCAAAATCTTTTCGATGTGAAAATCTTTTTAAATCCTGTATAAGCATAGTAAAATCATCAAGAGGTAAAATTTTTCAAAAAATTCAGTGGAAAAAAACTTACAATTCTATTGGTTCCTTTAATTCAAAAAGTTCGATTTCGACTATCGAAGCAAAAATTCGCTAAAAATATGCAATAGTTGTAGATAACAGTTTCTGTGATTAATAACTTAGTAATAACTGTAATGAAATTAATAACTTAATAATAATTGCAATTAGCGGTACAAATCCTGGAAATCTGACGGATCACATCAACATTGACATTATGGGTTGATGCAAAAAGTAAAACATTTTTTATTCCGCGCATCAGTTCGAGAAATCAAAATAAGCAATTAAGGACATACATTCAAGACCAATCTTAATTTAGCCTGCATCCTTAGATGTGGTGAATCAAGCCACGAACACAAAATTCGACAAACACACGTAGATAAGCGATCACTAAATGCTGCATATGTGAGAAGTTCTACAATCCAACCTATAAATATTTTGATAAAAATCAAGAACTAAAATAAAAATAATAAGAATAATAATTGCAAATCTGTAAGTGTAATACACCAAACCAACTCACTTTTTGAATCGAAAAAAAGTAAAAAAAATTCGCAATATTTGCATACCTGTATCAATAGAATTCAAAATGAGGTCCGGAGTAACAGCAGCCTGCTCGATTATTACAGCAAAACATGAAAATCCCAGTCTGCAATATGATGAATTTGTTTGGCATGTAATTCTCGGTTAAATAGCTTTTGATTTCCATAGATTTTATTCTTACAAACTCACTTAAAAATAAACTTGGTTGATTCCAAAAATTTAGTTGTCTAATTGTCTTTATGAAGGTCTTATAAAGGTAAATTAAAGGAAGGTTTAGTAGATGTATTGAATAACCAGTTTCAGGATTGGTAGAGTTTGCATATTTCGAAAACTTAAGGACGTAGTTTTCAACTCTCTCATTCTTATAATTTTAAAAATGAATTTGTCCAGCAAATACTAACTCATCTTTCTTTTCTTCAACTTTTGTTCTATCTAGTTGTATCGTGAAAAAACAACTAGCAATTGAAATTAAAGTACGATAAATATTTTCTGGAAAAACAGCACTCGAATAGTCCTTCTTCTTCAGCCCATCATTATCCGAAACTTTTGCTTTTATATTCATATGACTTAACATCATTGAACATAATTTTAAAGCCTCAATGCGCTCGTCAGAATTATTAGTGTCAATTTCTAAAGATCTGTAATAAGTTATTTATTTGTTCAGCAATTAAAATAAATTTCATTTTTGCTATGTTATTTCATGACTCAGGATCTCAAGCAACTGTCAGAAAAAGTATCCCAGATTTCATTTTGCATTTAGTTGACGCAGATGCATTCTGCAAAACGAAGATAAAGACCATATTAGTTATCAGCTTGCAAAAACATGATGGAATATTTAAATCGATATTTTATCTAAATCCTTGCTAAATATCAACACTCTCTTCTACATTAACCTACCATTCAAATAGATAATAAAAACAATAATGAAACCTTATTACAAAGCTATCCATATGCATATTTAGCAATACTGACAATTCATCAGGTAGCTGAGAAGCTTTTCGTAAAATGCGATATGTAATTGCACGGACCGAGCTCATTTCCGAAAGCACATATTTAGCAACCCTATCATAAAAATTGATTATTTTCCATGACCTTTAATAGTTGCATTTTAGAAACAACTTTCATTCTTCTGCTGTCGAAACACATATCCGTTCCTTAACTGTTAAAATGCTGTCAGTTTGAAAATTCAAAACATATCTTTTGCAAACATCGTTGTAGAATCCATCTCGATTAGGAAGCTCTTTAACATTAACAAGCACAGTGCACAAATTATTGAGATATTTGACAATTTCTTTAGTATTTTTCAGATTTTCTTCTCTAACACTAAAGGCTCGTTCAAGTGAATGACTATCTGCATCTGTTGCAATTTGTTGAGGCAGCTTTTTCATTTTTGTAAACGATCTTTTCGGCGATTTATTTCGTTTCCTCAAATTAATGGAAATACTTTTAACCAGAACGATATTTCAAAGAAAAAAAAAAATTTACTGTTATAAATCCAAAACATTACGACGCGACAAACAGAGAATAACGACTGTATTTGAACAACAGAACTGTAACTTTTATCAGATGTAAAGGGTTTAAAAATAAGTCAATGAAGAAAAAAATCATATTTTCGAACAAAAGAAAAGGTGATTACGATGCGGTAATCGATTGGACATTCGAATCCATTAATAAATTTAAGGTCGTAGTGAGTTGTACTTGCTGAAACTTAGATAAAAAAAACCCCAATTACAGTCAAAATCAGATAAAGAGTTCAAATCAATCATTTCCAAGCAATTTCTGAAATTTGAACCAAAAACTCAGTTTTTCTTCATTTAGACGTTATGAGAGACGATATACCATCTCGATGCTTTTATCAACAATCCAAAGCAAATTTATTCATTAAATCACTTGATTTCCAATTGCATTTTTCAGGAAAATTTTATTTGCTTAAAACATTCAAGTATTAAAATATTTTTTCCAATGACGAAAACCAAAAGACAAAGAAAGTGACAGTAAGCAAGCAACAACTTTTAATACTTTGTTTCAAAAATGTTCATAAATTAAAATGAACAAAGTCAAAATTAAATCAAAAAAAAAGAGAATCGAATCGAAATTAAAACCGGAGAAAGATCGTAGCACTTAACTCTAAAAGAATTCATATAATTCCTCATTCAAACAGTTTGTTTGAGATTATTACGGAAACAAAACTGTGTTTGTCATGGGGAACATTAAATAATTATTAGTCATCTAACAGTGCAAAATAAGCTTATTTTTTATATATTTGTTAGTGAAATGTATTTTAAATGCGATCGCATATGCCACTGTTTTATCATCCAAACGCATGGAGTTCACAAAGCAGCTTAAATGCCGAAAATCTTTCATTAATCTCAGACAGTCCTAAACATCTAAATACTTCATTCATTAAAAATATATTTGTTTTTCCTCTTAAATTCATTTAGAACACAAATGATTCGTTACAAAAGTTTTAATATTAGTGGGCTATCATTAATGGAAATGCACCGCAAACTAATAGAGATTCATTACAAAAATCCTTAAAATAGTTTCTGCGTCAATGCTTTTTAATTTCTGCCCATTTAAACTGAACCATTTAAATATATATTTAGATAAAAGTAAATGAAAATACCATCTTCTAGGACCGTTCGACAACAAAATGATGAAGATTAGCTTATCAGATAAAATCTTTAACCAATAATCTTCTCCTTACTCTCTGCAAACATTGCATTGGACATTGTAAGACATGATATTTATGCGTCAGCTCTATACATTACTGATGATTGATGATCTGATCTAATTGAGTATAACTGGAGATTAATAAAAATAAAAGATAAAAATATGACGGAAGTGTCACTGAAGTTAAATTGACAGGGAAATGATTTGAAATATGAAGGGAAAAAGAGAGAGAGAAAGCAACCAACGATTAAAAGAAAACAAAATCAAAAAAAGGTGATAAGAATAGGTACGATGACTAATCAAATTGATTTATTAAGCAATTAATTCAGTATCAATTTTATGATACAATGTTGTAATGGACTAGATAATTAATTAATGTGGAAAAATATACAAAATAAGTGGATATGAAAATTAAACTCTTCCCCTCCCTTTTTTTTAAAAAAAAAATTAAGCCACAGTTCAAAATAAGGTGCCCACCAGAACCGAAAGTCATAGCTTATCGATGAGCAATTCTGCAATCGGTTGGTGTATTTGATATTAGGCAAGTAATATTATTTTGTGGATT